CCCCTCCCCTCGCTGTATACTCCTCGCGAGCCTGCCGCCACTCCCACACCTCTCTCCCTCATAGTCTCCCTCATAGTTCCCCAGGGCCATGTCACACACGGCCGCCTCTCACCTCACACGCGCGCGCCCCAAACTCAAACCCAGGTGTCGCGCGTGCGCACCATGCCCGACCGCATACCCACCGGGCGTTCCAACGAGAAGTTGCTCTCCCCCATCGTCGGCAGCCCAAACGATTCGTCGGCGAGCACGAGCCGCCCGCCTACGCCGCTGTCGCGGCAGCGGAGCGAGACATCGAGCTGTGGCGGGCACGCGCTGCGCTTCACCGAGCGCTGTGGGAGGAGTGGCGGGCGGCGCCTCTCACGCGCGCGGCGTGCGCCCTCGCACGTAGGCGCAGCGCCTTGGGCAACAATGTCACGTTCGACCTGGGCGAGCTGGTGGAAGAGGACCCCGCCGAGGCCCACGACGACCCCGAGTCGTTCCGGGGCCTGGACCTCGATCTCGATCCGGAGGAGTCGGGGGAGCCCTTCCAGGTGGAGGTGTGAAATTGTGTTGTGTGGGGAGGTAACTGGTAAACTAGAAGTTGTCTGTGCAGCAAATCTTTGTGCTGAAGTGGTGGCTCTAGATGTGCGTGTGCTAGCCAGATCGATGAGATTCAACCCGGTGTAAGCGTTTGAGTGTGAGGAGAGTCTGTATCTGTACGATCTACGAATGTACGAAATCGAATCGGCCACACCACATTCTGCCTTCTGGCTCCTCGACGAGGGTGTCGTAAGCGGCGGACATTTAAAGCCATAGGAGCGACAAAAGCCGAAGTCAAACTGACGCCGTGAAAGAAGAAAAATCGCGGAAGGACTGCGTCTGCGAAGTGAGATAGGAAGATGCAGACGCCCAAGGGTGGGCGACGGCTACGGGCTAGCACCACACTCCTCTGAGCACTTGAGCACTGGATAGGGTCGATTCCGCATGGTACGGGACCCCTCGATCGTCTCGCCCTCCCTCACTGGTGTGTTCATTGGCGAGGGGGGGGGGGGGGTCATAACAAATCTCCCGGCTCCGCGGGGCCCAAGTCGATTCGTTTCGGGTGTGTTTGGCTTTGTTTGCAGTCGGTGTGCGCGTTTCGTAGTCAAAACGTCGCATTCGGTTCGCATTTGCATCCCCAGTCCCATTCCATTCGGCTTCGGGGCGAATCGGTATGACTGGGGCCGCAGTTTCCCCAGTGTGTCCGCGCCTCGGCTCGTAATGGTCTCACCCAATCAAAGCGGCGCCCTCCGGGGTACCATTTAGGGGAATACGCAGTTCCTCACTTACACAGCAACGAGCTTTCGTAGGTAGGAACCACCACGCCAGCGCCTTGTACTGAGTATTCGCTCCGGTAGGAATAGAGTGTAATTCGTTTCCCCCCAAATATTAAGATACGGTACGGGGGGAGGCTGTCTGAAGTGATCCGGGTAGCCTGGGCGAACTTCGGTCCCTGGGGGTATAAAACGTCTGCGAGTTGCTAGGAGTCTTTGGGGGTGTAAAACGTCCCCAAGGTGCTATGAAAGCAGTTTTGGATCATCAGAGCCCCCCCTCCCCCCCCTCCTTTGGGCCCCCCGCTTCAAGGGCCCCCCCCCCCCCCCTCCCCCTCCCTTCCTCCCTGCTCCGCCCCCGCCTTTCCTCTTCTCCCCTGCCGGCCCAGCTCCACTCATCCCTCTCTCGCCATCTCCTGCAGGTGCAGGGGAGATACGAAACGAAAATTGATGGGCTTGCCCATCCCGGAGTGGTTCGACCCCACATAAATCCGAGACGGTGACGGGTAGCGTCGAGTGATCTCAGGCCCAGTGAGGCAGTGCACAGGCTAACCCGGATCCTGCTGACCAAGCTCCTCTTGTAGCTCGATCGGTCACACCGCCATCGCCGTCGGGGAGAGGGGGGACGACACTGCTTCGGCAGCGTGCACCTCGATCCTGTACCGTGTTTGTTATGACCCCCCCCAATGAACATACCAGTGAGGGAGGGCGAGACGATCGAGGGGTCCCGTACCACGCGGAATCGGCCCTATCCAGTGCTCAAGTGCTCAAGATACGGCCGCAAGCAAGCTCGTCCCCCCCACTTTCCTTTCTGGCATGCACAACTCTCTTATATAAAATTCTCTTATACGCGCGGTTTGTATGAAAGATTTGGCGATGTTGGTGAACTGACGGAAGTATACCTACGGCCGCAACCTCGTCCCCCCCTCCTCTGTCACACAATATATATTACTCAAAAGCTAAGCTGAGCGAGCTACGCAAGTTCGTGCGCGAGTCCCTCGGCAGCGAGACGATACCGAGGGCGGAGCACGCGCTGTCGCTGGCGAAGGGTCAGGCAAAGCCCGGGTCGGCTGAGCGCGAGGCGGCGCGTCTTGCGGACGAGGCCTTCCCGCGCTGGACGGCCGACCGCCTGTGGCTACGACATCATCATCGACGACGGCAGCCACGTGCCGAAGCACATGCTGCTCACGTTCCGCCACCTGTGGCCGTACGTGCGCCCCGGCGGGATGTACGTAATCGAAGACATCGGCTTCTCGTATGTCGACGCGCCCTCGAAGATCTACGGGTACCAGCTCGGCGACGGCGGGATCGGGCAGCCGCCGCCGGGCAATCTCGTCGAGAAGTTCAAGCAGGTCGCCGATTTTCATTTGGTTTCGCCCCTGTGCAGGAGATAGCGGGAGACGGAAGAGTGGAGCTGGGACGAAAGGTATCTAGATACTATCAACATCGTTCATGCTGTTCGCTCTGCTCGCAAGCCCGGCGCTGCCGACCGGGCGCGTGCCAATCTTTGCCCAGACTCTCGGGGCTGCCCCCGCCCAGACTCTCGAGCCTGACGTCGTGTGCACGAGACATCTCGGTGCGCGCCTCTCCCCCCCACGTAGCAAACGACGGGGCGAGGTGAAGGAGGGACGGGCCGCGCAAATCCAGACGCCGTAATACTTTTTATCCTGTCATCATCGAGGTCGAGAGAGAGGCACCCCCCAGCTTAGTGCATCATCAGCGCCAAGGGGGCGATGGCAGGCTTTGGCAGCACAGAGCTGCTTTCCGAGCTGCCACTTGCAAGCCCCAAACGGCACCGTGGCGATCACCCTTCCTTTGCACGGCGGCAATCGCCGCGCCGGTCTCCGCGCGTGCCGCCGGCGGTCGGCACCGCGGCCCTCGAAGAGGGCCTTGATGCGCTGGAGCCGCTCCCGGCAGCAACAATGGCACCGGTGCAGCTCATGGCGCCGCCGCAGCGGCGGACGTCGCAGGCGCGGGCGACTCGGATCAACGTCCGCGAGCAGCGCAAGCAGAGCGTGGAAGATGCGGCTGCAATCACCGAAGAGGGCACATACTTGTCCCTCTCGCAAGTGGAGGCGGGAGACCTTGTTGTCGCAACAAGGAAGAGGGCGATGCCCGAGGCGCCCGACGACGAGGCCGACCATCTCCCCTCCCCAGCGCGGACAGCCACGGTGCGTCGCTCGTGCTCTCTCCTCGCTCTCCCGTCGCTCACACCAACACACCGCCACATCGACGCTGCCTTTCACACCCACACACCCACACACAATCCGCATGAGCCTGCCCACCACCACCACAACCACCCCGCCACTACCCGCAGGCGCGCCACCGCGGCCACTGCGGCCGCCTCCACATTAACTCGGAAGCCCCTCGCGACCCTGCCGCCGACCCGCGCGGCGGAGACGGCAACAGCAGCGTGGCGCTCGCTCGAAGCCTCGCCGGCCCGGCGCACTTCGGAGGCAGCCGCTTGGCGGTGGGCGTGGCGGGCGCGGCGGCAGGCGGCGGCCGCAAGTGGGCGCGCGGCGGCGGCGGCTTCTTGGGTGGCGGCGGCGGTGTCGGAGGGGGGAAGGACTTGGGGGGCGGGCTGGCGGCGGGAGGCGGGGCGGGCGGGACTGGCGATGAGGCGCAGGGCGGCCTGGACGAGGACGAGCTGAGTGGGATCAAGCTGTGGCAGCTCCCCTTCCCGCAGCCGAAAGATCTCTCCCGCCCTCAGTCGAGCCGAGGGAGGCGCGCGGCGCACAGCGCACACACGACCCCCCCGCCCCGACACCGTGG